GGACATTTGAAAAATTAAAGCAGCTTGTCACGCGTAATGCACAGGACAAGCAGGAGCTGCACCTCTTCATGCTCTCTGGACTCCCGAATGCAGTGTTTGACCTCACAGATTTGGAAGTGCTAAGACTGGAGCTGATTCCTGACGTGAGGTTCACTGCAAAGGTCTCCCAGATGACCAGCTTGCAAGAGCTGCATCTTTGCAACTCTCCGGCCAAAGTTGAGCAGACGGGCTTTGCTTTCCTCCGTGACCATCTCCGCTGCCTTCATGTCAAGTTCACCGACGTTGCCGAGATCCCGGCTTGGGTTTATTTGCTTAGGAACTTGAGGGAGCTTAACCTAATTGGCAACCTGAGCTCAGAAAACAACAAAATGATTTGCCTGGAGTCCATGCGAGATTTGAGGCATTTAAAGACGCTATGCCTGAAGAGCAACCTCACAAAAATCCCCACAAACATAACAGAACTTTCTCCGCATCTGATTCGGTTAATGGTTCACAATGATGGTACAAAATTGCTGGTCCTAAACAGTTTGAAAAAGATGACAAATCTGATTGAAGTGGAGCTGCACAACTGTGAACTTGATAGGATTCCCCATGCCATTTTCAGCTTAACCAATTTACAAGAACTTGACCTGAAATCCAACAATATTCGAACCATAGAGGAGATCATCAGCTTCCAGCACCTCAAGAGGCTGACGTGTCTTAAACTGTGGCACAACAAAATAATCACCATTCCAGCCACCATCGGCCACATCAAGTCTCTGGAGGCTCTCTACCTCTCTCACAATAAACTGGAGACCCTCCCTGCTGCCCTGTTCACTCTGCCCAAACTGCGACACTTGGAGGTGGGCCACAACTCCATCTCGGTGCTTCCTCCAGATGTGGGTCTCCTCCACAACCTCCAGCACTTGGCCATCAACTCCAACAAGCTGGAGGGGCTGCCCAAGCCTCTGTTCAGATGCACCAAGCTTAAGGTGCTGTGTCTGGGGCACAATGCGCTCACGATGCTGCCAGAGGCTGTGGGTCAGCTAGTCCAGCTCACTCAGCTGGAGCTCAAAGGAAACTGTCTGGACAGACTGCCTGCCCAGTTAGGAAATTGCCGCCTGCTGCGCAGAAACTGCCTAATCGTGGAGGACCATCTTTTTGACACACTGCCCGTGGACGCTAAAGAAAGTATCAGCCGAGAAACCTTTTAGCACAAAAGCCACCTAAAAAGACGGATGGCTTCAACCATTATTTTTGTATTGTATTATCCATGCATTTCTTGATTAGTATTTTTAGGCTGTCTTAGTTGCTTCTGTTTAAATACAGCATAAGAAAACAGAGCTTTTGTTATTGCGAAGTATGTATCTAATGCAACATTGTTATTATGCTTTTTTGATAGCGTTGAGATATTAAAAATCCAGCTTCTTTGTATATTATTCTATAGACCAAAACCATTTCAGTGGCACATTATATACATTTGTCATTATTGTTTTAGGTACTCAGGTATAAATGTAACCATTGGGAACAATCTTTTTGCCTTAACTGCTGCTATTTGTTTGTTGTCGTTTTTTTTTACAGTGAGGGCTTTCACAAACAACAGGACAAAAATTAATAATTTATGATTTCTTGTCAGATTTCTTTCTTTTTGTGTTGAAACTATCAAGGTACTTTTTAACTTGTTGAAATCAAGTAGCCAGTGTATTTTTTTTTTCTTCATACCTATGTAGCCGAAAGAATTTGAGTTGTAAACTCAGGTGGAGACCAGAAATGAACTTTTACCCCACTGTAGTAAAGATTGTATATGAAAGCCTCCAGTAATTCATTTGCACATTGAAACCCTAATGATGTAAAGATTGGTGAATGTCCTGCTGAGAGAACTAATAAAAGGGAAATCGGTTGACTAGCTTTTGAAACCATGTTTTGAAGTGTGATTTGAATCTGTTGTGTTGAGCTACTGGTCCCACATGTCACAATCATGTAAAGATGATGAAATCTGCCTTCATTCTTGTCAATGTACTTCTGTGTAGGCCTGATATACGTGTTCTTCAGAGCTGCTGTACCACCTTGATGAGCCTCTGCTCAAAGTTCACATTTTTTATTGTACAATAAAACAACAGTCCAGATTAACGTCTAATGATTATCGATCGCCTTCAGGTTCATGACACTTGCTGCTGTCCTGTAGTGAAATCTGTAAGTTTGGAGATTATTCTGTTAAATATGTAAGGTGGATTAACAACATTTTAAAACTGTATCATTGGAAAATGAACAGATTTTCTTTCAAAATTTACTTTTTTTCCCCCCACTTGTTTCCACTTTCATTGTTCTATTCTTGGACTTGAGTCACAGTTCAAAATGATCCTTACACTGGGCCTTGGTACAACTTCCTGACTTCAGCCTATAAAACCATCATCAAACTTTGTTCTAACTGGTTTTAAATAGAAGCTTCAATCAGCAGTCAGTCTGGGAGTGTTTTCTTAGCCGACCATGAATTGTGTAGCAGAAATCAAGACTCATCAGAACAGGAAATGTTTTTCCAATTTTCTTTTGTGTGTAAATTGTGTGTAGACTCTGTTTTCTGTTCTTAGGTAAAAGGAGTGGCACTTAGTGTTAAGTTCTGCTGGTGTAACCCATCTCTTTCACAGATGTGCCTTGAAGGTTGCTCTACTGCATACCTCGGTTGTAACGCTTGACTTCATGTCAGCTCATTCTCCTCCATCCTCTGGCACCAATAACCGTGCCACGATCAAAGTCCCCTATCTTCCCCATTCGGTTTGCTTAACCATGTCTACATGAATATACCACAGGTGTATCTATTTAAAAACAGTATATACTTATAATTTTAAAAATAAATAGAATTTTAATACACTTCAAGTTTGTCACTGGCTTAAGTGTTATATTGACACTAAACATGCTTCTTATTGAATATGGTGTTTGATCATCCCTTTTTTTTTAACCCCCTGGCATAAGTTTTTCACACTAACAAAGCTCCAAAAAAACTTCCCAAAAAATACAAGCTAATAGCAAACTCAAGTGTTTGTGTTTAATCCAACAAACCAGTAGGGAGATAAACCTTTTAAGAACAGTCTATGATTTATTTGAAGTTAATTTGGATTTTCTTTCTGACCTGGCTCACACTTGTTTCTGTTTCTTGTTGGATTCGCAGCAAAAAAGATCATGGCTGCAAACCTCCTGATTCTAATGGAGCTGTCTTGTATGAAGTACATCAGTTTCCTCTCACAGTTATTTCAGGTTAATTAGTGATTCTAAAATGGTACTCGTAGATGTGAGTGGTTGTCTGCCTCTCTGTGTTAGCCTTGTGAAGATGGACAGTCTGCCCACTGTTTACCCATCTCTCACCCTGTGACAGTCCCCACAGCCCTGAAAGCAGTTAAGAAAATGAGCACAGGGACAGCAGAAAATATACAGGAAGAACTAAAAATATTAAGGGTGGCTCGTTCTCAGTAAGTACTTCATTCCAGCATTTTATTATACCCTTGTTTGTTTCACTCTACATTTTTCCTCCTGGAAAAACAGTTTTTTCCCCCTCCACCCTTTTCTGCTTCCTGTCTGCAGCAGAAACTCAAGAAAGATTTAAAACGTCCCTTAAGGGCTTGAGTACAAAGGCCCCAGAGTCACGGCTCTTTTGTTAATGTTGCCAAGAGACAACTGACAATGTTACATTGACCTCAGCAGTTCCCAAGTAATGGTATGATCCCAGTGTACTCTCCAGTGAAGTTAACTGAGTTCAAATAATGTGTTTTTAGTCATCCGATGTCTAAAAGTTAATGACTGATAAAGTAAATGTCTTGAGTTCCTCCATATCGTCATGCACGAGATATTTTCTGAAATGTGAATCCTATCAGACCGTTGAGAAGCAGGGGCTAGATTTGGTGCTGCACTGCAGACAAGTAACAATGTGTTTGATTCCTCCAAAGGAAGAACAATAACAGCACTGTTTCTAGGTAGGTCTTGACCAGATTTTTCTGAGAATTATGAGAACACACCTGTCCTTGAGATATCCTCCTCTGGAACTAAACATGCCCGCATGTAGTGTCATGTTTCTGTCTGCCTGTGCTGACACACATTCACACATTCAACAAATTCTTTCAGATTTCACACTGCTGTCTGTTTAATCCCCTGTTATTATCTGTAAGTTTTTCTTAACTTATAAACACTCAAAGAATTCAACATTGTGCATTCATCTATATATAATTAGATGAGCAAGCAGTCTACAAGACCCTACTGAGGTCCTGCTTGTTTTAATAGACTTAAACACAGTTAATACTGGAACATTTTTAAACTAATCAAAAAAGGAGATTTTGTTTTAAAGCTGTGTTTGACAAATGACAAAAAATTAATATGCACAGAGAACGTGTTATCTTCAGTAGGCTATGTGTTCAGTACACCTGTATAAGACGTGCGACACTGAAACATCTGAATGTAGTTGTACTTCTTTATAGAGTTAAAAATAAATTGAATTCAAATTGATATCTTCTTTGGGGAGCATTTTGAATTTCTGGTGACTGTAAAGACAATTTCAGTACAGTAAAATCATTGTCTCGCTGGAAGCAGTTGTCAGACAATGGGTACACTGTGTTCATAAAGGGACAGAGATGAATTAGCAACAACTGTGCCAAGAAGATTTCCCCACATTTTCTTTTTACGTTTGTTAGCCACTTGGCTGTGATAGTAAACAGTAGACACTGATGTAGCTTACTGAATCTTTTGGACTGTGTTCAGCACAATATTAATTAGTCATTGTCAGTTGCTGATTTGTCCTATTTGCATACTATGCATACTCTCGCTCTCTCTCTTCATATATATATTTGTGTGTGTGTGTATGTGTATGTGTGTGTGTGTGTATGTGTATGTGTGTGTGTTTATCTTGTTAAATTCAGTATGGTTCCAATAACATTTTTTACAGTAAAATATGTTAATGTACAATCCTTAATATAAGGAGGCGGGGTGGGGGGGTGCCAGAGGGGGTGTTCGCCCAGGGCACCAAACAGGCTAGGACTGCCACTGATGGCTACATTGACTTTCTGGTATGTGATTGACTGATTACACATTTTTGCCCATGAGCAGTTGATTAGAAATGCTTATTCGGGTATCAGGTGAATGTAAGTTATTATGAAAGGGTTTTTACCTCTCGAACCCACCTAAGGTCGGATCAGAATGAATGTGATCCATGAATCGATCCATTCTCTGCTGCACTTTGCTACCATCTGTCGGCTGCTCTAGGTATCATCTAAACAACCTTTTAATAGGCGAACCAGCTTTAGCTTTACCAACAAAGCATATCCTCTATTTTTTTTTTTTAAATAATGAACCGTCACAATGTGGAAACGTTTCAGGCCCAGGCAAGAAGCAAAGGAGCTACTTCAGGATTTAATAAAATGCCGACTACACGGTATGTGGAGTCTGCACTCTTTAAACGGGGCTAAAATTGTTATTTGGGAAAGTTTCTGATTTACAACCTACATTAAGGTGCCTGTTAATTCAATTTCGGACTCAGTTTTTCTTTTGTCGAGTGGGTGTTAACGGTGCAAGCATTTAATTCTACCAGCTAACGGTGCATAAAGCTTTGTTGTCAACAAATTGTTGTGAGTCTAGCTGTGCAGCTAAAGCTAATAGCAGGAATGGCTAGCCGGTGATACATTCAGTGTTAAATGTTGCGTTTACGTGCGTTGACGTTTTATGCTTATTTTTGTTTCATTCGATGAACAGAGTACCCCAAGACTTTATAGATGCTATGAAACGCATATCGGGAGGACAACCAGACATGGCTGCTAACACTCAAGCAGCACAGAAAGGTACAGGTAACCTCTATGCATGCAAGAACGAACACGCACACGCGTCCTCACAGAGGTGCTTTATTACTCTTTAGCTCAACGCTTCCTTTGTCTTTGCGTCGCAGATAACCACTCTGCAAATACAACTGCTGTTTTTGTTTACCTTTTGCCTGATTTGATTAATTTCTGAGTCTAATACGTGTCTTTGAATTATAATGAAAAAGATTTCAGGAACTAGGGCAGTGCAGACGTCACCTCGTGTCTTTTAAAAAAAAAATAAGTTACACACAGCAGAATCACAAGTTCATTAGTAATCAATTACACCTAGAAAACCCAAAATGTAATGTCCCCATATGAGAACGCAGAGGCTCTGAAAGTTACCGCTCACTGGACATTTTATCAGGTACACCTTAAAAGCACTTTTGCCTTCAGAGCTGCGTTAATCCTTCATTGCACAGTTTCAATTAGGAGTTGGAAACATTTCTCCAAGATTTTTCTCCGCATTGACAATGTAGTGTCAAATAGTTGCTTCGTACTTGTCGGCTGCACATCCATGATGTGAATCTCCCGTTCTGCCACATTGCAAGGCTGCTCTGCTGGATAGAGATCTGGTGACTCCGGAGGCTATTTGAGTACAACGAACTCATTGACTTCATCAGTAATCAGACTAACTAGATTACATATCTGGAGGCATGTATTCTCTGAACATACGTTGCCTTCATTTTTCATTTTTATACTGCAGCTTCATCCTCAGTTGACAAATGGAAGTCTTCATTCAAACCAATCGGTGATGAAGATGAAGACTCTCAGGACAAAAGCAGCACAGAAAAGTGAGTTGTGTCTCCTGTAGCCTCGGTCAAGGCTGGCCCACATTTGAGGCTTCATATTTTCATGTAGCGAATTAAATTGTAGAAATAGTGTCTGTCTGCCCAATGAAAGTCAAAACATTTTGTTTAATGTGTGAACGTTCAGTCATTGTTCCAAAAAAAAAAAGAAGAAAAAATTAATTAATCCTTCTTACTCTCATCTTAGGACTGGGCTTTATGACCCTTACAACCCTTTGTCGTCAGACTCTGAACCTGAGATGCCACCGGACCAAGACCACAAACTCTCCCCACCCACTGAGGATAACAGTGTGGAGCGTCAGTGTTTAACTTCAGCGAGAGACTGTCCTGAAGGCCGACACTGGGGCTCAACCTACTCCAAACCAGGAAGCGGACCTCTAGACAGAGGAGAATTTGGCACTGGAACCAGACCTATAGAAATCCCAGGTCTCAGTCCAGGAATTAGAAAGCATGAACAACAGATTTATAGCCCAGAAGCTGAATCACTGAATTGTTCAAGCTTTGGCTCCTTGAGTGAAGTATTGGGCCAGAGAGGTGGCACCCCTGACAGGCGTATTCACAGCTCCTCCACCCAACAGTGTCCTGTGCCTTATGGACAGAGAACCAATGGGGAGGAGACGATAACAGTACCAGGATATAAGATGGAGGTATAGATTTTGAGAATAAAGAATCATTTTTATGCAGTTTGGCTACTGTGGTTCAACTGAATCCAGTGTGATAACCGATCCTTTCTGTCCTCTTTAGACTATTAGATTATCCCCACCGAGGTCACAGGACTATCAGCATCAGGTGGGCTATATGAAAAAAGGTAATGGTAGCTGGGTTACCTTGTTTGTCTCACCATTTCAAATTAACAGCAAGAAATGGCTGAAAGGACTAGATGCTTTAATCACGTCACATTGTCTGAGTAATTCTCTGTATTATATTGTTCTACAGGACGGGACCAAGACCTACCTTCTACAAAGGTGACAAGGAACATGCGCCAAACTGTGACTTTGGAAAAGTAAGCACTGTTCCTTCTGATGTCAAGTTGACAAAGTGAAATCACATGTCCTCTCACCATGTACTCTAATACAGTTTAGTTAAAATGTTGCAGGTCAGTCTGTAACTTTGCCAGTGTTAATAATCTGTCAGACGCACTGAGTCCAGCTGAGTTTGCAGAATTAGTTTTTGCTGCAGCTGAAGTTTGTAATGCTGGAAGTATTCATAGTGATGTCAGCATTTTGGCCGCTTCCATGTTGGTTTTATAGAACCAGAAGTAACCATATTTGTACAAGTGCACAGAAGCAAATTCAGTTAGTAAGCTGACGAAACGTTTCTCCCACTGAACACGCTAATTATACTTTGTACCTCATCCAGCTGAAGGACCAATAAGCTCAAGTCACGTCATCGTGAGGGATCCATCCCTTCACAAACAAAAGCTTCTCTACTCCCTGAGTGTTCAGAATTTATTCAATTTTTCATATAAAGCTCATCAAATAGGTCCTCGCCCGAAATGTGCTCAAGGTCTAACCACATTCGGCGTTGACCTTTTAATTCGCATTATCTTGTGTAATACAGCCAACTAATAATAGACCTTTCTCTCTTTTTCTGTACTTTACACACATCACAATAACCTGTGACTTGTGAGTCACGGGTTTTTGCAGTAAGCTCGATGAGCTGCGGCATTGAAATTCTGGTTTCGGTACCACGCTGTAAACATGTTCATTTTCTTGCTAAAGCTGGAACTACAGTTTGGCACTTCCACCTTGGCTTCCTCTTTCACCCCTGAAAGTTACCACAAGACGTTAATACGTTAAACCTGATTGACTAAACTCTACAGCTCTACTGACTAAAGCCCTGCTAAGTCCTGATGAATATGAGCTGTAACGTAAAAACAAATTAACTTTCCTTATTACACAGACCTGTTCCTATTTTGTTATGTACATTTCCATCACAGCAGTTTTGTCGCTCTTTTGTATATGTTAGGAGGCAAGAGACTCTGAGTTACCTCAGGCAGTGCATGTGTTGTAAAGACATATTTAAAATAAGCAATATGTAGCAGATCAGTTGAAGAGTGGGACTGAAGCACTACGCTGATATGGTTGTTTCAGATGCTGCTTTATATCATAATATTTCCCAGGTTTGACCTTTTACCTCCTACTGGGGCAGTCTGGATTAGTTAATGCCCAAATATTTTTAAATTGCCCAAATCATTTTTCTTCTAGAACGCCCATCACTTGTGACCTTTGTGAGGTTGAGCTTGCCAATGGGCAGGAGCTGCAGGATCATTTGGACAGCAAATGTCACTGGGACACCCTGGAGCATATTCAGCAGAATAATAAATACGATGACGTAATGATAGCGTTCCTTCAGGTACGATCACTGACAGAAACGGTAAAACGAATTTCCCAGTCATGTATTCTGGCTTCTGTATCATAAGTTTGCACTCTGCATGTACTATAGATCCATAGATAGATGTCCAACAGATCTTTTCTTTTTTTGCAGGAAGTGATGCTGTATAAGAGCCATTATTGTAGCCAAGCGGTAGAGGACAACGCTCTTCAAAGTAAATACATGTTTTGAAATGAAAAGTCATGATGTTCATGACAGACTAAAAAAGAAATACTTTCATCCTACTCACCCCTATCGTGTTGTCAGCTCTACAGGAAAATAACCACATGACAAAGGTGGAAATGTTTCATTGTGCTGCTTGCAAAGTTTACATATCCACATCTGTTGCTGAAGTGCAGGCTCACATCACCTCTGAGGAACACCTCTCTCGCACAAAGGTAATGCTGCTGTCCTACAAGTGCAACAACACAGATGTGTTTTCATTAAATATCCTTTTTGTTTACTGTGATTGTTTGACTTTCCCGAAGGAGTTTGAAGTGCATAGGAGACATGCTTGCCTCAGCAAAGCAGAAGCCATGATGAAGGAGCTCAAACCACAGTTTGAACACTTCCTGAAGGTATTTTGCAAGAGATTTCCAAACTATCTAGAGTGTACACAGTGTGCTGGCAGAGCTGCTTAACATTAATCTACCAAGCCAAAAAAAGCAGCTGGGGCTTAGACTTTTAATATTTAAACAGTCGTTTTTACAAAGTGGTTATTTTGACCAAATATTTTCTTAAGTTGTCCAATTGTGGACTAAGTGTACTCAAAATTCAATCTTCTACATGATGCTTCTAAAATGAGTACCTGAAGCTATCCAGTGTTTGGACAATAATAGGATTTTGGTAATTTTGCCTCTGTTTAAGATGGCAGTGGAGTTTGAGTGAAACTATGAAGATCTGCGGTTTCAAAGGTTTTAACAAAAGTATTGTGTCCTCTTTTTAGAAATTGCAGACATTTTCAAGAGGCTCAAAAGTAACTCGACAATTGATTGACTAGGAGTTTCATGGCCAGTTTTGAGGCCTGTTTACTCCATGACAAATTAACCAGGTAAAAGATCTGGAGTTGGTCTCAATTGTTGCCTTTTGTAGGCTGGAATTCTAAATATGAGGTCCAAAGAGTTATCAGTGTTAGAGACGGAGGGCATCTCTTAGGGTGCCAAACAGAAATAAACCTTTCAGAGTGTCAGAGATATACAGATAACATAACAAAAGGAGAGTGGCTAAATCAACAGTCTGTCTTTCCTTGGTTTAAAAAAAAAAACCCAACCCTCTCATGTAGTCAAAGCTAGTCAGGCAATGAAGTGAAGAAAGTCTGATATCAAAATTCATCTTGTAAATACAGAGGATTTGCAACAAGGTGCACACCACCGGTTACGGTTAAGAACAGACAGGTTAGAATAAACTTTGCCAGAAGTAGTCTGCACAGTACTGTAGAAGGTTAAATTTGCGGTTTTGTTAATACTTATTTGTAGCTTCCACACCAAAATTTGATACATAAAACCCCCCCGACTTGAATACAGAAGTAATTTGAAAAACATTAGCTTGCTTCTTTGTCTTTTATTTAGTACAACTGGAAATAAATCTTTTGACAGATTAAACCAACATGAACTTAAAGAACAATAATGGGAAGAGAAATATACGGGCAAGGAGAGAAACAGCTCATCCAAATCAAATGTGGTTGTTGTAGTGTTAAGATATGGGGATGTATGGCTGCCTGTAGTTTTTATTGATGAAATACCTACTGATAGAAGTATCAGGATGAACTGTGAAGTGCACACGGCTATACGCTCTGCTCTAATTTAGACAAATGCTGCCAAACTGCTTAGACAGCATTAGACAAAAGCAACCCAAGAGTATTAGTCACCTGATCTCAAAACAACAAAGCATGTTTTTCAGGTAAAACTGACAACAAACAGGTAAAGACCCACAATTAAGCAGGATCTGAAGGCAGCTGCTGTAAAGGCCTTGTACAGGATCTCAAGGGAGGAAACAAAGTATTTGAGGACGTCCATGGGTTTCTAGACTTCAGGCAGTCATTGAGTACAAAGGATTTTTATCCATGTATTAAAAACAATCTTTATATTTAGAGTTTGTCCAGTTACCTTTGAGGCTCTGTAGATGGAAGTCTGTGTATGAAACTGGTTCTATTTCCCAAACACTTGAGGCATAATTTTTGTTAAACCTAAGCTGAAAGTCTTCACTTTATATTTGGGCCTGGTATCCTTATGTTTCTATACATTTATCCAGGATCTCTGGGCTACTTGGATCTTAATCAGTTATACAGATGTCATCTACTGCATGATGTATTTTGATATTTTTAAGTAATATGAGACTATTGGGTAGATGCGAATGATTTTTTTTTTACTTACCAAATTTAATGAGTTCAAACTTAGTACTAAAATGAATTGGCTATTTTTTAAATAAAGATAAAAATCAGTTCTTAATGGGGGACAGTTCATATGCAGAAGATATTCATGATTCATATGAGTTCAAATAAGTAAAATATGTCTTATTAGTGTGTAGGTAAGTGCAGGGAATGTAATCTTCTGTCTTGCAGAGTTAACTTTAATGCACTTTTGTGTGAAGTGAGACATCAAAGCCAAATTGAAACGCAACATTGTACATAAAAGCATAACTTTATCTTTATGTATCAAGTGAAACGTAACTGAAGCCATAAATCTTATTAATGCATTTGTTTTCACTCTCCGTACACTAGCTCGATTAGTAGAAGCAAATGATAGCCTGCAGAGCTAGGAGTAATTACTAGTAATTAAAGTGTGTGCACTCAGCATGTCTGGAGCTCTACAGATGTAACTAAACTAATTCTTTTCTTTCAGGGTGGCAGCCCATTCGAATGACAGAACTTACGTGATGTTGTCATGAGACTGTTTACACTGAGATACTGCGGATGAAGAGCAGTCGACTTTACTCTTCATTACCACACAAAACTGCTGTCCCAGTACTCGTGTCTAATGCTGACAGACATGCTGTTGTGGGCCTGTGAACACAATGCAGCTTTTCTTTGTTTATATACGGATTCCCATTTCTCATCTGCCTTGCGTTGCACTGACTACAGCTGCTCCCAGACGATCTCCATCTGGGTGCTTGTAGAAGGTTAAACTTGCAGTTTTGTTAACACTAATTCTTTGTACCGTCCACATCAAAATATGCTACGTTAAAAAACAAAAACAAAACATGAATGCATAAATAATTTGAAAAATGTCAGATTGTTTCTTTGTCTTTTATTTAGAACAACACAAATGTTTTAAGCATTGTATCTGTGTGATATAGTACATTTAAAATTAAATTATTTCAAAACAGTATATTTAAACATTAAATATAGGTGACATGTATGAAGGGCTTGGTCAGCACGGGTTGTGCGTGTTAGGTCTCTCTCTCTTTTTTACCTCTTTTCTTCCTCAACCACCTTCAGTTTAAATCTTGTGTTAGAAACAATGCAGTTACTGAAATACTATAAAACACTCTTTCTATGCATGACAAGTTTTCAGACATTTTTTTTCTTTTTCATTTTTTCCTCTTTTTTTTTTTTTTTTGTTGTTTTGCACTTTCATTCAAAATATTTCTCTCAGTAACTCTGGCCTGAAAAGAGACTGTGGGTTTTGATTTGACCGTGTTGCAATACAAAGGAAACATGACTTGATGTGAATATTGATACAGAAGAGAAGTGCTCCCAGAAACTGACTCAAACCATGAGAAATCTGAGGTAAAGGTTGTCTTCATTAGAAATGGATTCCACACTACATTACTGCATAAAACAAAACAGTCTGTCCACTTGGAATTGTATTCCAAAAAAATGGACCATGTAAAAACAGACAGGGTAACAATATCCAAAATAATTGATTTTTTCATCTGTCCAAATGTGTACAATATCTCAGGCAATATTGTACTTTTGGCCGGTAATTTGTTGACTAAAAAAAACCAAAAGTGAACATCGAATATACATACACATACAGTCTAGTGAAATCTAAAAAGGTCCCCACTGGCCTCATGAGACAGCATGTGTGACTGTCAAGGAGCCATCTTGGTCAGTCTTGAAGGTTGGGGTGTCTGTGGGCAACGAGGTGACCTCTACCATGCCTAGCCCAGTGTGAGGGACGCTAGTGTTCATTATGTGTCTTTGTAAATGTTTTATCCAGTCCTCCTGAACTGACAAGGGACCTTGGAAGACCAGGTCACAGAACCTGGAAACACAAAGAAATGCAAAACCAGGCAACCAGGTTATCTGGCAGCTTGAGACTGGGGAAAAATGAATTGGGGATTAAAAAAACAACAAAAAAAAAGCAAACACATTACCTGCAGGTGAGCCTGTACATTTCCTCTGGTGTTTGAGTTAAGGGCAGTGTCTTCTTTTTTGAGCCAGGCCTTGAGCGTGTCCTAACTGCTTTACAGTCAATCGCTGAAAGACAGAATTTCATTTACAGCCCAACATTAACACTACAGTATATTTAACATTATAATGGATGAAAATATTTGATGAACACTGGAAAATTGTCTAATGACATTTCAGCAAGAGTTCTTTGAATGGGCTTTGAATGTGTGGACGTTTTTGACTTTTGCTGTATTATGCATGGTCGAGTGTGGCTAAGAAAGGGCCCAAGATCAAAGTGTGATGATGTGCGCCTGCAGGAAAACTGGGTCCTGACAACTTGAAGCCACCAAGAGGTCGCTCTGCAATTAAAATCTCTGCTAAAGCTCCAAAAAGCTGATGCCCTCCTACATTCTTACCTTGGGGAGCACACAAATAACCACTGGTGGACTAAATATAACTAAGATTTGGACATCGCAGCTCCTTTTGGTTTCCAGCTACACAGTTTTATCAGGCTGAGATTTCTGCTGCTGTTGGTGCCTGAAAGTTTGTGAACCCTTTGCATAAATATGACCTGCTGCCAGAATAAGAGATCCCAGTTAAACAAGATAAAAAAATATTACATCATTCCTTTTATTCAATAATCCAACGTTACATAAGAGAGGTAAAACTATGTGCTTTTTGCTTTTGCGGGCTGCTCTAACATTTTTGCTAGGTTAGGGGTTAGGATTCTGACTTGGCCGCATAGTCTTTATTCTTCTTTAACCTTTAAGTACAAATATTAGCGATGAAGGTCATTGTATTGCTGCACGACCTACTTTCTCTCTCGAGATTTACATCGCAGACAGATGTCCTGGTTTTCCTTTAGAATTTGCTGGAATAATTCAGAAGTCATTGTTCCATCAGTGATGAAGAAGCATCTTGGCCTAGATGCAGCAAGCAAGGCCCAAACCATGATACAACCATCTGCTCCTCTCCCTGCCACGCACAGCTTTGCTGTTTGGTGTTCTCCTTTTAACAATTTAATGAACCTGAACATTTGCCAGCATGGAAGTGGTGTTACCCTGGGGTCCTTTATGATCATACACACCTTGCTCTTGGGTGATCTTTGTGGGTCGACCACTCCTGGGGAGTGTAACAGTGGTCTTGAATATCCTCCATTTGTACACAATTTGTCTGACTGTGGAACGGTGGAGTCCAAACTCTTTTGAGATGATTTTGTAACCCTTTCCAGCTTCATGAGCATCAACAATCCTCTTCCTGAGTTCCTCAGAGAGCTCCTTTGTTCTTGGCATGATGCCGTTCCACAAACACAGTTAGATTCTTTTTTTTTTTCTTTTTCTTTTTTAAACAGAACAGGCGGTGCACTCACACCTGATTGTAATCTGGCTGATTGAAAACATCTGACTCCAATTTCAGATTAACTGATAATCCACGAGGTTCACATACTTAATGCTAAAATAATACATTTTAGGACTTGAAAATCTGAAGTTGTTTTTGGTCACATTTGTGCAGAAATCTATTAAATTCTAAAAGGTACTTTTCTTTGGAGGTTTTAACCAACAGTAGAGCATTTTTTATAAGTAGATGCTCACTTTCTTTGCATTGGCTACACTTGAAAACAAATATTTTGAAGGTAATGCGATCTGATGTGATGCTAGTGTAAAAAGAAAGCAGAAGGAGACTTCTTTGTGGTAAATGCTCC